TACCTCCCCCCTCCCTTACCAACCCCATTTATGCGTAGCTGACGTTTGCTGTGTTCATTTACTCTGACGATGGCTTCTCGTGTGGAGCCGAAAGCTCAGAATTTAACTATTGTTCCAGAGATCGCGTCTTCCTCTTCTTTATAGGCTTTCATACCGTTTAATCTGAAGCTCACGTATCGGTTCACTCCAGACCAAACCCTTTAAGGAAAACGTGCAGAAACACTGTATTTCCGCATTAGTGCGCTATTTAACAGCATCGGTAGGCTCCTAGTATGGCTATAAAGCTGGATGTGTATGTGGTCGTCGCTGGGTTTGGCTGTCAGCATACTGCAAAAAGATCACGAATAATTCTGCCATTTAACATTGTCCTGTTCTGTTTATTGTTTTTTCTGCCTTACCGCACTGGGAGATCTGTCACGAGAAATCCATAACAAACCATAATACTCATGTACCCTTCAAAAACACAAGTAGTTAAAAGCCGTTTTCCCTCAAATTTACTTAAATTAAGCAATGTTTTAACTCCTTTGTTTTATATATTTGCAGGCAGCATGGAGGGGGAGAAAATTCAACAGGCAAAAGAGTCCCTTCTTCTGCTGCTCAAGTCGTTGCCCACGGATTGTCGTTTTCAGATTATTGGATTCGGAAGCACCTTCTCCGCACTGTTTGATGAGTAAGACTTCAAAATTCTTTTACCCCCCTAAAAATGCATCTTGGACATTGGTACAATTTATTCACTAAAACACCAAAAGGTATGCAATGCAGGCTTGACCTTGACAAAATATTGATACAAATACGTATTTATACATTCTTCATCAAGAAAGCACTTGTCAGGTATCGTTTTGCAGAAACGTTTTTCAGTAGTTTTTGTTTTTAGACCAAGGGACTACACAGTGGAGTCTATGCAAACGGCTCTGGAATACCAAAAGAACCTGGACGCGGACATGGGTGGCACAGAAGTTTTGGAAGCTCTGGAAAGCATTTACGCAAAGGAGATCACGGGCCGTGGATGGTACAGGAAGATCATCTTGCTTACAGACGGCGCTGTATCCAACGAAAAACAGGTAATCCTGTCCTCCTTCCTCTATTCTCAAAGCACAGTCTTCATAGCATATCATTTATAACGGGAATTAGGCCGGCATTTCGCATTAGGCCTGACGGGGCCCGTCATCATAGATCTGCTCATTCGCACAAGCGTTACATTCAGCTATCCAAACCAAAATACACCAACATGTTGTTCAAGTGCTTTTCCTATAAGGAATAACCAGGATGACTGCTGTCTTCTAAGGGCTCGCGAGTTCATCATAAGAATGTAGGGGCAAGATGTACTTGTGCATTTTCGAGCTCGTGACACGTACT